GTTTGGCAGCATCTTCTAGCAAAGCGAGTCGGTTTTCGCGATGGCGGTCTGTCAGGAACGGTGCCTTCCTCATTTTCTCTCTGATGATGAACTCTGACTTCTTCAAGACACGCCAAACAGTATTTTTCGACGACATTAGGAGGATTCAGCGATGAATTTTATCCTCTGCATGACATCGTGGGGTTGGACGCTTCGTTCAGGATACGACGTTTATCTCGTTCAGACAGCAAAGGAGGACGCCCAGAACTCTTCCTGACTCCATATCCTGCGGGATCCCTGACAAACTGATCGATAACATAATGACTGCGGCCCAACTCTCTTGCGATTTGACGATTCGACAGTCCTTGAGCCTTCTTTGCGATAATCTGCCCCTTTTCGAAGTCAGACAGTGAAAGCCCTCTCGCCATAACCTGGAAAAGGTCAAAGGTAGAGATGATGAGAAAGTTTACACGCAAAAAAAAATGAGACGCAATGGGAAAATATGCGGTGGCTGTATACTTGTGGGACATTGTCATAGTGAGAAATTTTCAAAAAATAAAGAAAGTTGAAGTTGCTGTGGAAAGTCAGTTCTCGGAGTTGGCATGCAAATTGGTACTGGTAATTACCACATTTTATACCTAGAGGCTTTTTTTGAAAACGTCGTGTAGGGAGGGATATTGTGAGATTTATGGGTGGCTGTATACTTTTGGGACGCAGTGTAGTATTGATGCTGTTGGTGGCAGACAGCGGGTAGCAGTGTGAGGAGGAAAGGAGGCGTGACAGACTGCTGGTAAAAAGTATGTCTGGTTCTGAAGATAGTATGTCCGCTTTCCTCGGCATGCGCTAGCGATAACTTTCTCGTCGCTGACGCTGCGACATCCGGGCGCTGATTGCCCTGGCAGACGATGGCAGGCCCTAGATCGATACCTATACTTCTATAGTCGCTGACGCTACCAAACGCTTCAAACGTTGCTGGACGCTATTAGGGCGTGGCAAAAATAATGACCGTTTAAGTAAATGTTTCAAAATATCATAACTCGCTTCAAAGTGTTGATTTTCAATCGAAATAACGACCAAAAGGATCAACACATTTGTGCCAACGAGATGGCAATTTAGATATTCCGGCAACATAAAATGCTGGAGTGCTGGAAGGAAAGAGAAAAAAAAAAAAAAAAAAAAAAAAAAATTGACGGAATCGTTGATTGGTTGTGTTGTATGGCTTTTCTACGCCGTCTTAGATTCGGAAGCATTTCTTGCGTAAAAAATTTCGAGATGCTTGAAAAAAGATAACCCGTAGGGGAAAGGTCTTGTGATATGGAGGATAGTCAAGAGTTTCATATATCAACTCCATCAGTTTTTTGTTGTCATCAATGAAACATGCGATCGGGCGTTGTCATGGAGTAGGACCGCGCCCTTTCTGTTGATTAATGCCGGCTGAATCCGATGCAATTTTTGGTGCATTGTTTCGATTTCCTCTCCGCTGTGATGGTTTCTCCTGGAGCCAGTGAGCTGTGTCACAGTCACCATGACCTTTTTTTTTGGTGCAACTCCGGCTTTGGAAAATGTTTAGGAGATTCGTCGCGATCCAACCACTGTCTTGACCGTCGTCTATTGTCGTATTGAATCCATTTTTCGTCACACCATCACAATGCGTTGCAGGAAAGGATCGTTTTTGTTCCGGCGCAAAAGATGTGGACCAACAGACCTCGAGACGACGAGGTTGCTGGTGCTCAGTCAACTCACGTGGGATCCACTTGTCAAGTTTTTTTTTTACCTTCCCAATTTTCTTCAAATGACGTGCCACAGTTTCCGAAGTCAACTCCCAGCTCTTTCAGCAATTTCCCTTGTGGATGTTCTTGGGTTGGCTTCCTATTCTGTTGCCTTCTATTCGTCCGCCTTTAACTTCGATGACGCGCGCGTTTCCTTCCTAAATTCTTCCGGGTTTGTCAAACCTACGGTGGTGCGCTCATTTGTAGTGCCATGCGTTGTTGATATTCCTAGCTGCTTCCGCAGCATTACGGCCGAGTTTGTACTCGTGAAGCATGATGAGTAGGATTTCGCGTCTTGACAACATCTTCGTGGCCCAAAATCGTAGGAAGAAATGGTGGCGGAGAAACGGGAAAAAGTTGAAAAATGTGCTCCTAAACGATTTATTAAATTACTATATTTGCCTAGGTTTTCGATGACATATGATCAGTAGAACATAGCAGGTGCGAAAACGGTCATTATTTTTGCCGCGACCTGATATTAGTCGCTGGTGGACGCGAAGTAAGAACACAGCCTAGAGCTAGTCACATTGACGACTAGTAATTGAAACTGGCACTATTACTACCCCAATATTCCAAAATTAGGCCCACTTTCTTCTTGACTGAGTTTTTTCCTATTACGACTAGTAATTGAAATGTGGCACTATTACTACCCCAATATTCCAAAATTAGCCCACTTTCTTACTGAGTTTTTCCTACGAGGGCAGGTTCAGCTCAAAATTTGTTCCCAGGGGTAGTTTGACCTCCCGAACACGAATCTCACATCCGCTTAGTCCTGAGCGGCTTGGCGTCCGCGCCACAGGCTCCGGCACCAAAATACCCTCAATCACAAAGATCGACGAAAACTTGTTTACAGGTATTGTTTGGAATCTTGATTACATAAGAGCATGACATCTGCCTTGGCTCCGGCGCTAAATGGAGGACACTGCGATCGTCTGCGCTCTGTCAAGGCTAAAGCCCCCCCCCTGGCCTGAAATGCACTCCTTCTCTCAGGCCAGCCTTAGCCTTCGCAGCGTGCAAACTGAAAACGGAATGCCATGACGTGTGCACAAGCAACCCTATTGTGCAAGTTTTTTGATGCCGGTGAAAAAGCGTGTGGCGTAAAATTGGCGCCTAATAGCGTCAAAATATCGCTACACAGGGCCTGGAAATGAATGATCCTGTTCCGTGATCCAATGATAATCGAATAACTGTAGGCGGAGTTCAAGCAGAATTTCTTTGAGTTTCTGGTAAGTAGTGATCATTTGAACGCAATTCCGCTCCGAAATATTTGTCTCTTTGCCTTTCAGTTTTCTCGGAAACGTTCACGAAACAGAGCATTCTCAACTACTGTGTGCATGCTATACAAAAATTACTCACAATTCTGGAGGAGCATTAGCAAGATAGCGAGCAACTTGTTCCATTGCCGGTCTTTTCACAGGATTTCCTCTCCAACAGGTTTTCATCACTCGATATATAACAATGGGAAGGGTGGCATCAGTTGGCGGACGAAATTTAGGGTCAGATATCTGCAGCAATACCAAATCGATGCTCAGCAAAGCTCGCTGCGGTTACTCAACAAAACGAAAAAAAATTCTGCGAAAAATCACTAGTGAGTGGGCAACCTCGCACCTTTTCTCTGACAGTTTTGTTATCGATACCTTTGTAAGGTACTTGGCCATTATTGAAGATCTCCCAAAGGAGTATACCGTAAGAGTAAACATCACATTTTGCCGTATACACTCGTGTTGAGATAACTTCTGGAGCTTGCCTGAATGGGGGCGTACCTTGAGAAAGAAACAACTTTTTTTTACAAGTGTCAACGAGGACTTGGCACTTGACATATTAGAAGTTCTGTATAGGTACAGCAATTGTGATTGGGAGTTTTCAGTGCTGGGAATTTCATAGAATTCTGCTTGCTTTGACATGCCAAAATCGCTGATTTTCACGACACCTTTCTTCACGTCGATGAGACAGTTCCGACAAGCAATGTCCCTAAATCAGAGCCAAAAAGGTTGGAAGGAGTAGTCAATTCTCACGATCAAGTGATGGAAAGTACGTCTTCAACCGTGAATCCCGTAGCTATAAAAACTCCCAGTAAAGGAAGCAAAAAAAACTTTGGATACACCAACAGACCCCTCTCAGCAGTGGGCCCGCGCATTGGACGAGTTCGTCATAAGGACAAGCCTAATCAGCGTATTCTACGTGGCATCAATTCACTAAGAGGCACATGAACACGCTATTCCGCTTGTAAGCCGTTGTCTTGCAGAGTGAAAGTAATCGTGGTTGCAATGGTTGCAATAATCACGCGTCTCTAGCTTCTTTATCTCGCCGTTTCGAGTGACGAAAGTGGTACATTCTTTGCGAATGCGAACTAACGATGCCAAATGCACGGAGGCATTTCGCGGACCACTTGATCGCGGAACTGTCTTTGAGGTTGCCTAATAACGACTTACCTGTGCATACAACCTTTTGAATGTAAGTAGACGAGGCCAATTGCAACATCAACGGCATAGCCCACTCTTGCTTTTGTCGAAACCTTAACGTGCAGGTGGTTATGAATTCGCATTGCATGCTCAAAGAATTGTCTTTGAACTAGTCCGGCACCCAAAGCTGGAAGGTGTGTGTAGCGCAGCAATGAACGGGTCAAAGCTGAGAGAAACCTGCACGACCAACGCACATCTCTCCATTTAGAGGTGGATGCCCATTTAAAAGGAAAACCTGAGAAATAACCTCTTAGCCCCCTGGGTTACCTGCTTATCACGCTGAACATGTGAGTGCTGTAAGACTGTGAACAAAAGCCATTGAACTGAGATGGAAGCGGCTCTGGCAGCGGCCAGCGCTGTAGCCTAAGAGCATGAGATGCGGTTTTGATTCCCGCTGGATGAAGCCCTTGTCCATAACGCGACATTCCTATTTTCAATTTCGCAGTGCTAGCTGCAGTGAGCAGCTGCTACCACAGTTAAGCAACGCACGAATCTCGGTCCTATAAATCCGACTTTTCCTCGCAAACTTCGCCATTAGCGCAAGTAGACCTCCATCCGTTCCGATCCTGTGCGATTTTTCTTTTCCGCTGTCGGCTGAACATTTCCAGATACGATTGGCGCATCTCATTTTGGCCTTTTTTCAGGTTGTACTTGGTCAGTGGGATCCACTTCGTAAGCCGAGAGGTTCACCTATTGTCCTTCAATCGCGCAACGTGACAGGTACATTCTCCCTTTTTTATATAGTTCCTGACCACATCATTCATCCCACTTCGCCTTCGAACTTCTGCGTTCGCAATGTGATTTCGAAGTGACGTTTCACAAATTCTCCGCTCCGCTGATCTTTGCGCTACGGTAAGCTTCGCTTCATCAGCCTCAGTGGTCGACCAACATTCTGCGTTCATCAGCGCGAGTGTCACGGTTGAGTAGAGTGACACCTTTGATGTCATCGGCAGGTACCTAGCGGCACTGTTGAGATTCTGTGGAATGTGGGCCACGCTGCTCTTCTGCGTCTGCTCAATTGGCCGTCGTTGCTTTCCGTAAAACTGAGCAGATGTTCCAAATAAATATGATGAGTGGTCTCTTCGATTATTTCACCTTCAATGCGTATTCTTGCTTATTCTTGCTACTGGGATGAACTGATTGCGCATTCATTTTGTCTCGAATAAAGTCGAGACCCTTCCTTTTGGGATTGTTTGTATGTAGATAGGCTTACTCTGGAGTTCGGTCGCATCATGCGTAAGGATAAGAATAACATCGAACCCATCGAAAGAACGATGCTCGGAGTTTCTCGCTACGCGAAAGTGAAAGAGGAAATCCGGAACTCTGCACTCCTTCGATGGTCGAGGATCACGAACGCAGCTGCCAAGATGTCGAACTTCAGGTAGACTGGGCACGTCATGCATTTCGAAGGCGGCTGCTATACCAGATTACTGATTGGATTCCAAATGAACACCTGGATGACCGCGTCACTGCCAATGGTAACTTGTTCTGTGAAAGCTCTTAGCGATATGATGTGAGTGGATTTCAATAAGCATCGGCGCTGTAGCCGAACCAGTAAAATCGCTTTCCAGGGGTTTGGGTATGGGTATATTATCACAATTCCAATTTTTTTCACGTGAGATTGAAGGCTTATTTGACTCGTAGCGTCGCGAGTTCTTGACTTCTAAAATTGGTACGATGTTCTAGAGCGCTGAAAGCATGTACGTGGGAATCACCGTAGTTGAATGGAGGAGATTGCAAGGTCACTCGTAATGTATAGCAGAGCGCTTTCCATTCTGGAACGCCATCACTCGCGAGTTTTTACAGTAATAAGAGAATAAACCCCAATGTCGCTCCCTCACAACATCAGATCCAGTTTTATGGACAAATGGTAGCTTGCCGCAGCTCAGTACTACCGCATGTGAGTCACTTTTAGCGTTATACGCACACATAGTTGTAGTTTCTCTTTCAAAAAGGCTCATCCAGTAAAATTATAGATCAACTCAAAGATCGTTACATCTGAGTTTTTTCTAAGGTATTCGTCCAATGCGCCACCATCAATGAACTCCATAACAATCATCGCACTGTTGTCGCCCTTGTTCTGTACTACACCATAAAATCTAACCACATTTCTGCAAAAAAAGGAGTTTGAACTGCACATAAAGAAGTTTCACCATCATTTAGATGGTAAGATTGCTAGAATGTTCTGTTGTGGAGCATGAAAGAGACGAATGATTCTAATTAGTTTATCAGGCTTGCGAGTTCAACAGTTGGGCAACGTATTGACGTATACTCAGGAATGAGATGTTCGGCGGTCATGGTCCTGAATATACTGCCAGCATGTGGAGTTGGCAGCACTTGTAGGCTGACCCTTACGACATTCCGGACATTCCACTGCTTATTGTGAAAATCTGCATATGGTCTTGTTGTTCTTTCTTATAGGAAAGAATTTCCGTCCGAAAACACATGGTGAATGGTTCTTGAACTGCGCTCGTTACGCGAGTCATGCACGTAACCCTCACAGGATCCCTTGAGATGGAAAGCGACTTGTAGAACTCGAAGCAGATCTGCACGAAAGAAGAGTTCCCTATTGCTTTATCATCTTGGGAAGGGATCCTGCTGATTGGGTGAAGCGGTAAGGCATGCGCCCTTAACAAATTGAATAAGCATGGCGGGCGGTGTGTTAGATTTCCTTCAAAGAGGCCAAGTTTCTTGGTATTCTATGGTAACGCGGAGACCAACTGCAAGGGGCGAGGAATTCATCTGAAAATGTAGAGCGGTATCTTGCTAGCTTGACAGGCTCTGCAGTTAAGCCTAACACCTAAATGAACCTTATTATAGCATAAAGAAAAAAGAGAAAACGGTAATCGTCTTCAACTCGAAAACGTGGTCGGCAGCTGTAAGTGGACATCTAGATCGGCAAGCCGCCCGACAGATGGGAATGAACTCTGCCTCATCCAGTAAAAGAAAACACACTGTGAAGTCTTGACCAAAGTGTCACTACAAACACGAACGAAACCTGAACTCAAGATCTCTAAAGCGCGGTAGGTGCTGCGAACCTCATTCGAACATGGCGCCGTTGGCTACCTGTGTGAGATTCGATCCGAGACAACTGTCATGTTGTCTTGTGTTCGACAAAGACATAATTGGTGTGACTTCCGTACGACCTGGAGCGTCTATGGCCACGCTACATTCGTTATGTCACCGCAAGCATCGGTTCAAACGGTGGAGGAAGCTCGGACCGCCAAAGCTTGGTCTAAGCTCGCGCGCTCATCAGTCGATTCAGTCGTCGTGTGCCAACTTGCTGAGCGGCTGCTCCACTCCGTCGTCTCATTCATGGCCCTCTAGGAACGTATCCACTTCGTACGGAGTACATGTGGCTTGCTTTGCCTCTGAAACTACTTCGCACAACTCATTTCATCCATATTTGTATTATATTGTGCTGTTACAAATATAGTAGAATCTCACTTATGTTTATACTGTCTCATTATGCGTGCCTCCTTGTACATCTCGTCCAAGATTGTTTTATTTTGCTCGTTGACTTTTTTCTAAATGATGCGTTTTGACAACTTTTGAACATACTTCATTTAATAATCTTTCAAGAACGTGGTTGGATTGAAGTAACCTCACCACTTTTATGGCAACATCAACCGGAGGATCCTTTGGGCTCTCTCGCATTGTTCCGAGCCATACTTCACCGAAGGCACCGGCACCGACCTTCTTCGTCATCGAAATCTTGTCACTGGTTAACTCCCACTTTTGTTTAGGGATTGGTTTCTTGAGTTCAACTTTATCCTTTACAGGAGTTGAGGTAGATTGATGAAATCTTAATGACACCTGCTTCATTAACGGGTAATAACAAATATAAGCCGATGGCACAATGCAGGCGGTCCCTTCTGATTTATAGTGACACAGTATGTACTTACAAATCAAGAGGATCGCGGTAGAAAGTAAATATTTGTGCTAATCGAGGTGCCAGCGAATAAAGACAGAGAGGAAGTAATTAAAAGTCCCGGTGCCGCATCTGGTTCAGGAAATGCTCGAGCAAGCAGCGAAGAAACACTGAGTGCTCGAAGGACGACGAAATTTCACGAGCTAGCCAGACTATATCGCGTACAGCAGTTGTAAAAGAGAATGGGAAAAGCGAAAGCTGAGTCCCGGAGCGAAGAGCCTGACAAATCCCCTTTTCGAACAGCAAATGGGACATCTCGTGCAAAAGCGGATCAGGCTATTTTTGCTAGGAAGAGAATCTACTCATGAGAACAATGAGAACAATCGCGAGCTGTAAGTTCAGAGATTCCGCGATCACTCACAACAAACGGGAATCACTGGGTGGTGTAGAACGGTGGTGAAAAACGCAATTAACGACCTTGTGAAACTTTCGTGGCAGAAAGGGTGAGAGGAGAGAGAGAGAAAGAGAGAGAAAGAGAG